ACACACACACCTGGCGACCTCGGCTCCCACTCCACATGCACTCGAGAGAGGCTGGCCGGGCCCCTCTTATCCAGCGACACCTTTTATCCGCGCTCTCTCTGTACCGCTGGTGCGGGTTTAGCTGGAGCCAGGCCGGCCGGCCCGGGGCCCGGGGATCGAGTGTGCATACAGTATGTTGTTGTACCGCTGCTCCCCCACCTTTGGCCCTTTTATGGAGGCCCTGTGCAGCAACAGTTAATGCGATTCGACAGTTGAGCGCGCAGCAGGCACGCTACGCTCGCGCCGGGCGGTGCAGCAACCCCCCGCCACCCGCCAGCCCCCCCGACTCTGTCGTGGACAAAGGTGTGGCGATAGACGACGATACGGCTCACATTTTGTGGGGTTTGTTATAGTCATACGTCATCGAATGACGACGATACGATACAAGAGTGTGCATCGGAATAGAAATGTGTCGACCTCCATTTTAAAATCGACACTGATTCCGAGATTTGTCAAAAGAACGTTTAGGACCTTCCGAGGGTTCCCCCCGGGTCCCTCACTTTAACTCGTTGCACTGGAAAAACTAATGTTAATGTTACCGAGTACCGAGGGAACGTTTCTTGACGCAACCAAACCAGGAAACGTTTGGTGATGCAATCTGTTTGTGATGGCCCTATCCTTTTGCATGGGGTAGCTGGCATCAGGAAACGTTAACTGGCTTGGTCACATGATAAACGTTCCCTCGGTAACATTACTTTTTCCAGTGTGCACACGAGAAAAAAATATTCGTGAGATACTCGCAGATACTCGCAAAAAAAACGAAAAATGTTCGCTATATACTCGCGTAACTCGCCAATACTTTCGAATACTCGCGAATACTCTCGTAACCCCTCGTGACCTACAGTTCAGTTACAAAATGCAAAAAAGCTCCAAGTCCTTTAGCAGGTGGTCCAAAAAAAATATATTCAAAAAGCACTTTTTTTTACGCCTCAACATAGTTTTGGAGTGCTTTTGGGACGGAATTATAATAGGTACCAATTTACTCAGAATCCTCAAAAACGACATTGTAGCGATCTACTGCAAAGTATTCTGAACTATGGCTAAAAAATGTCGTGCCTGCCCGCTCCCCTGAGGCCGAGAGAGGGATTCAAGCAGTATGCAATCTAATGGGCCCCCGCCCCGCTCCCACCACCGCACTCATTTCAAATCTCGGCGACAACACGGCGGAAAGCGCGAAGCGAGAGAGCCCGACCCTGCGGGGTGGAAAAACGAACGCGCGCGCGCGCGAGAGAGAGAGAGAGAGAGAGAGAGAGAGAGGATGTGTGTCTGTGCGAGACAGACAGAGCGCGCGCATGAGTGCTGGTGAGCGTGCGTGTTGTGTACGGGTGATTGATGTGGTTGCAACATCAGTTGAGCGTGAAGCCGGAAAGAATCCGTTTGCGCGTGCGTGCCTGGGTGCGCGAGTGAGCGCGGCGGAGCGCGCTGGCGAGTGCCAAAACGGCGTTGCGGCGGAACATCGCCGACGCGCCTTTCGCCTGCTGATGCGATTCTAGAGAGTCGTCGTCGTCGTGATGCTGCGAATATTTGACGGACTGTGACGCTCTTTCGCCAATTACCTGCCGATAACTTGATCCGACCCGACGACTTCGAAATAGGCGCGCGCGGACGCCTCCCGGATCTGTTAGCCTCTGCCAAGAATGCTAGTGGTTTTGTGGGAACGCTCTTGAGAGGAATCCGGGATCCAGCCAACTCGCCGCGGGTTGAGCTAGAAGTGATCGAATTATACGAATAACTTCTCTGCCTGATTGGCGCAAATTTAAAGTTTTTGAATGTCACTACTTCTATTTTGTCATGTTGCAAAACAAACTATATTTTCTGTTCAAAAGTTTTTAAAAGAAACGTTTTCTGTGCTTTGCAGGTGTCCTCCATCAACCGGGTGCTGCGCAACCTGGCCTCGCAGAAGGAGCAGCAGGCGTCGGCGGGGCAGGGCGAGTCGGTGTACGACAAGCTGAGGATGTTCAACGGCCAGGCGCCCGGCTGGGCCTGGTACCCGGGCGGCCACCACGCCGCGCCGCACCTCGGGCTCAGCCCCGGGGCCACCATGGCGCACCTGGGCGACGGCAAGCGGGCCCCGGGCGCCGGCAGCCTCCCCAGGCCGGAGTGCGACGGTGAGTGACAAGTATATCAAAAAGATAGTGTGATTTTTGAGGCTTGTGTGGGCAATATTCTGCGACGAATAAATTAGGTAAAAAATGCCCGTGAGTGACGGCATTTGTGAGCGACTGAAAGTGTGCTACATGATGTCCAAACACGATTATGACTAGTGTACGCGCATCCACAAGTTATACATGTGTATAAGGAAACACAAACAACCCCCCAAAAAAGAAAAAAATGTATTGTCTGTAAACGTGTGCCTCAGTAGTATAGACTCTTAAATTATGATTCTCTGAAAATCGGTTGCAAATAATTCAGAATTGTTATT